CCCACCTCCGTCATGGTGACGTCGGCGTAGGTGTGGCCGCCCATGTTCACGACGTCCGACACCTCGTGCACCCAGCGGCGGGTCACGTTCGCGGGGCCAAAACCAGTCACTGTCACCGCCTTCGTGGCCATGATCCCTCGACCCACGCCCGGCGTGATAACGTTGTGGTCTGCGCCCGAGTCCAACAACGCCGTGAGGCATTTGCCGTTGACCACCGCCGGCATCGTGAACAGGTCGTTGACACCCGTCGCACCGACGGTCACATGCTCGGGTCGCACCTCGATCGTGTTGACTTCGATCTCTGCCACCTGGGCCGCCATGTCGTCGATGTCGGTGGGCTCGGGGCGGAGCGCCAACGTCGTGATTTCGACGTGCTCGTCAAGGCGCTCGCCGGCCATGTCGGAGTAGTCGTGGACTTCGACCTCCAGAACGTGCTGGCGCATCGGCTGTTGGCGACCGTCCCGTCGTGGCGCCGGGCACTCACGTGACTGATGCCACGCCGAGTGGCAATTGAAGCACAGCCCGCGCTGGTGGGCCTTGTGCACGTACGGGTCCGCAAGTCCACTGCGACCACGACCACCTTGGCCGCCATGCGTGGCCGAGTAATTGACGAGCATCCGCCCGTCGAGCATCCGCCCGTCGTGGCCGCGCGTCCGGTCGTACCCGCCGCGACCACGGTCGTAGCCCGCCGACTCGTTGACGACCGACGGGTGTGTCCGCTCAAACTCGAGCGCCAGCGCGATAGCGTCCGAGACCACGTCAGCGCGGCGGTACTGCACCTCTTCACGCGTCTGCGTGCGTAGCCCGCGTGTGAAGAGCATGACGCGGTCGAGCTGCGACATGTCGTTCACGCGCACAATGATTTGGCGGTAGGCCGCAATGTACTCTTCAAGGGTGCGGAAATCGCGTTGGTGGAGGTTGTAGAGCTGGTCTCGATAGCGTTCTTGTGCGTCCGGCGGCACAAACTCGCGCTTGAGCGCCGTTTCGAACTCGCCGATCGTCGTCGGCACTGCGTTCTGGGACTTGACGCGCTCTTGGTACCATGCGGCCGCCACGCCGCGCAGGTTTGCGACCATCATGTTCAGGCAGCGCACTTGGTTGTCCATCTCGCGATGGTTGATGTTCTTGGCTGCGAAGTACACGCGCGCTTGGAAGCAGAACAGCTCGAGGTTCTCATCGTGTCGTCCTGCGTAGATCGGCATGCTGATGCCCTCGACCCGTCCTTCAACTTTTGGCGGGTTCGCCAAGCGCTTGATGAGGGCCGAGTTCTGCGTCATGTTCTGTACGAGCATGGCCGTCATCTCCGACCGGCGTGGCGCGCGTTCGGGCTCGCCTGCTGGCGCTTCCACTTGCGGCACCTCAGCCTGGGACGCCTTGGCTCGTGCTGCAAATGCGGCGGCGACGCGCTCTTCTAGCATCGCTTGCACGCGGCACTCCACTTCTTCGGCCATCTGCCTGTTGCGGTCGGCCTGGACGGCGGTGGCATGTACGGCGGCGGCCTTCTCGACGCGTTGGTCAATCTCAACTTGCACCCGACGCAGGAAATCGGGGTCCTCTTGGACGGCACGGGCTGCGGCGGCGACGGCTTCGCGGCGGGCAGCTTCTTTTCGGGCGGCTTCCTCAGCGGCTTCTCGGGCGGCCTCTTCCAGGCGGCGGCTATATCCTTCTTGGAGCAGGCGGGCCTCGTCCACGGTCACGTTGTGGGGCTCCATGCTCTCTATCTCTCTACTACTAATACTCGGTCTCGTCGGATCTTTTTCGTGTGTTCTATGTCTCTTTTTCTTTTCTTTTAACCAACAAGTGCTACCAATTGTAAGGTTGCGCTGGAGATTTAGAGAGCAGAGTCTAATATAAGGCAAATCCAAAAGTGAATTACAAGAGCTCGCGCTTCTCGCGAGCTCGCTTAGTCCGCCGGCGATCGGCCGCCGCGCTCGCAGCCACTCGTGGAGCCAGTACACTGTAGCGATCACGCGCGGCTGAGTCCGTGGCTTACCACCGGATACGTGATGCCATGCTGACACCAGATGGCCGGTCCGACCGACGGTTACAGCGGTCAGTCGTTACAGGCCTCATCTCGATCGCACTCGCCGTCTTCTTTGGCCTCTTGTACAACCGTGTG